TATCGGCTTTAAAGTTTTCCCCTGCATTCTGCTTCCGCTGGTTGTGAGCCAACAAGGCTGTAGTAATCTCCTCAACGTTGATAGTCTCTTTCCCATATGTAAGAGTAGTCACCATGTGTTCGTAAGAGGGAGGCAACGAACACAATAAAATCATCGCTCTGTCTTCATCCTCAATTTTTACATCAAGCCGAGCCAAATCAAAAACGATTTGATTGAAGACATTCACGTGTTGCGCCAAATCATGATCGTCCTGCATCTTCAGCCCATACAGCCGCTGCTTTAGATACAGTTTTGTCGTTAAGGATTTGGACATAAACTGACTTTCCAACTTCCTCCAAATTTCGTCTGGAGACGATAGATGCATGACGTGATACATAACCTCGTCCGCTAAGCATAATCGTATGGTTCCTGCCGCTCGTTGTTGCAATTCTTCCCAATCTTCCTCCTCCATCGACGTCGGCTTTGTAGGTCGCAAAGCCTTCAGGATCCCCTGCTGCGCCAACAGATCCTTCACCCTCGTTTGCCATAATCCGAAGTTACCCAGACCATCGAATTTCGCAACTTCGAATTTTGCTCCTGACATCTGTTACCAATTGTTGATAAATCGGGCAAAGTAAACGAAAGAACACAAGAATTTTAACGAGGTTCGGCAATGTGCTTACGTCCTCGGTGCCTAGGCGGCGCTAGAAAATTTTATTCAATTCTCATAGGTTTAGGTTACATCTCTATTTATAATAGAAAACCCTGGTACATAATTACAAAATTAACCCTGTACCGTACCGCGGGGACACAACCCCCGCACCCCCAACCCACATAATCGTAACCCCCTCTACGAGACTTTCTTTGTAAGGACAGTTGATGTTCGCTTTGCTCACTCCGCTCCATCCCCTGTCCTCTTTACCGGTATATTTATGAGTCATACCTTACAGAATCCTAATATTATGAAGGAAGCAATCTGGATACTGGTTTAGTTTACTAAAAGAAAGAAGTTATATATGCTGAGTTTTGTTATTCAAATGTATATTTTGTCAATTCTGTTGTATTTATGCATGTAATGGATCTTTCTAAATACAAAAACATCGTTGTCCCTCAAAAGTGGTATCCTAATTGCCATGTCTATTAAGGTTTTATATTCCTAATGTTTCCTTGGAAAGGACATTTTAGGGTAGTTCTAACTCTCATATGGATCGCAAATATGAAGCAAACTTTGCTGGCCGAGGACGCTTAAAACCTTCAATTGGCAACTCTCAAAACCAAATAACAAAAAGGTTATGATTTTAAGTCTTAATGTTTTTACAATCTCTAGAGGTGTTCAAAGTTTAGAAGTTTTTTTTCGGTTAATCGATCAGTTAAATTTTGGTTCGATCGGTTAACGGATAAGAATTTTTTCAAACTTCGGTTATCGGTTAATTCGGTTCAAAATCGATTAATTAAGTGAATTAACCGATAGTTTAAATATTTGATATATTATATATATTATTTATATATTACTTAGTCTTGTGAGTGTCTAAACTTTGATTTTGACATAATTAATCGAAAATATTAAATATTCAAAAAAAATTTGGTTTATTTGGTTGTTAAGTGGAAAAAAAATTCAATTAACGATTTTTTGGTAGTTCAGTTCGATCGATTAACTAGTAGTCATGCAATAAAGATTTTAGGCCATATCTTATTTTTGGTATAGCCACCGATTTTTGATTTATTAATCAACTAATATGGATTGAATATTGTAAAGGTAAGGACGACCCTCCAAATCCAATTTGCTTCATTCACAAAAATAACATATTCAAACCTTTGACTTTTACTTAGAATTTAGTATCTCATCTCAATAGACCAATTAATTGTTTGATATTCTAAACCATACGTTTATGATGTTATTCTGATAGCGTACCACTGTCTATATCCTGGGTTGTACCCGTAGAGTTTGGTGAAGGGGTGGATTCGGGAGCTGCCATTCAGTCAAAGAATCGTTTGGCAGCGGAATAGTGTTATCCTGGTCTGGATTGTATTCGGAGTTTGAGCCACGGCGGTCGCAGAATCTGATGGTGTCAGCCCAAGTTACCCTAATTAGCTTTGGGCCCATTAGCAATTACCACTGGCTTCTTCATGGCCATTGGGCCCTTTCCTCTTGGCTTATTTTATTGAGAGGTGAAAGTTCAATCTAGTCGAGTATAAAATGTTTGAATTATTCGAGTTAAAAATTTTTATTTTGTAACTCAAATTTTATTTGAAACTTTTTCAAATCGAATTGAGTTGTTTGTGTTTCTGTTTAAATTTAATTATAAATATTTATAATATTTCGACTTAATGTCAAAATTAGCTCCCAACGTTTTTCAAAATAGTCATTTTAGCTCATATTCTTTTTTTTGGCTTAAATAACATGCAATCGTTGGTGCTCAAACTCGAGACCTCTAAAGATAACAACTATTCTTTTTAATTATTGAAATAGCTTAGTTCATACAATTATTAAAATATTTTTATTTAAAATAAATATTAGTATCCTTTATATATTTAAGTTTATAAATATTCAAATTTAAAATTCTAATTGTATGCAAAATATTTGTATTCGTATAAATTCGAATATGATAAAAATTAGAAGATAAAGATTCAAATCCACCTTAAAATAAATATATCTTTTTTTTTATAATTTAAAATCAAATAGGAGTATCTAACTTTACAATCTGTATCTATAAAAATAATATAAATTCAGATAATCCATGATTAAGAGTTTCAGAGATAATATAACGTACATCTAACCGTTTTTCGATAGATCTCACACAAGTTATCATAATATTTTTTTTCAATATTCGGTCAACGGTTAATTCGGTTCAAAATCGATTAATTAACTGAATTAACCGCATTAACCGAAATTATTAAATGCTTTACATATATTAAATATATATTTTAAGCTAAAACTTATTAAGAATTAAGACTCATATTTTTTAACCAAAATTTTAACCTAAATAAAAAAATATTTTTTAACCAAAATTTTAACCCAAATAAAAAAATACTTCTATTATATTATAATTAATCTAATTAAAAAAATTATAAAACATTTCAGTTAATTCGGTTAAGCAATCGAAATAATCAAACTTTATTCAATTCGGTTAATATTTTAAAAAAAAAATTCAGTTCGATTAACGGTTAAAGAAAAAGTTCGATTAATTCAATTAATAGAAATTCAGTTTAATCGATGTGTAAATCATCAAAATCCTACTCCATTTATAAAGTCTAAGGGGTCTTATGAGTTCATTTAACATATGTTTAACAGAAAATTCATCATCTATGACACAAAACATGCGTATCATTAAAAAAATTTCAAACAACAATATATTACACACAATGTATAATATTTATAAAAGTCATGATATAACAAAAAAATATAGTAATAAATTATTTTGCAAAAAATACAGATAGATCTTTTAAATTATTATATATTTTTATTTAACATTTATTTTTATCGCCTAAAATTTTTTAAATATACTTCCTCTTATAATTTTATAAATTTGTCTCCCTAAACATAAGAGTGTGCCCCATTGTAGTCAGCAATTGATATGGATTTTCTTGGTTTTTGCATGTTTATTTTTTTTCTACTTTTTAATCTGCAAAATATAAAATAATATTAATAATGAAAACTAAACTAAAAATAATAATCTATGTCTAAAATTTACAAAGTGTGCTTGAATTTTGCACTAAATCCAAATGTAGAAAGGTTCGATTTTGATTCCAATGCCCTAAAACAAATGTAATGGGAAACGAAAATCGAGACCAACATGTTCGATGTTTTCAACAATTTTTACATAATATATTAAAATTTATAATTTAAAAGATTAAATATAATTTTTTACATAATATATTTCTAAATATTCAGTTATAATGACTCATTAATTTTTTTTATATATCTCAAATGGTTTTAAGATTTTTTTTTTAAAAAAATATTGCTATAATTTAATTATTTAAGAGAAAATAGTTAAAATTATAAATATGAATATTAAAGTGATTTAATATAATTTAATTTATACAAACAATAACCTCATGCATCTTAGGGGATAAAAACCAGTATCACTAAAAAAATGAGTTCATTAGGTGTAAAAATGGGCAAAATAACAATTGAGCCTTAAATATTTGATATTTTTTTACTTGTATCCTTAAAGTCATTACCCTAACGAAAAATATTGATCATTAATTGACCGTCAATTGACTATTCAAAGAGAGACTTAATGGATCAAATTTAAAGTTTAAATTACCAAAAAGATAATTTTAGAGATGCAATTGAAAAATGGCAAACTTTGAGAGTTTGAATTAAGAATAAAAGAGTCATGATTAAGGTTTGAACAATTTTGATAATATATATGTCCATAATCAATAAATCAAAAATTTTTAAGAAAATGTTATCTTCGTATTATTGAAATGAGAAATTGAAAAAGAAAATATGTTTTTGATATTCATTTCAAAGTTTTGGCAGTTGCAACTTGCAATTAATCCATATACGCCCATATTCTATGTTCGGGTAAATTATGTGTTTTGTACTTAAATTATCAGTTTTGATCCGTTTTTAGTATTTAATTTTTTTTTAAAATTATACCTAAAATTTAATTTTTGTTTCATTTTAGTATCCGTTCAAAATTTAACGTTAACTTTCGAAATAAATTTGAAAGTTTAGGTACTAAAACGGATAAAAATTGATAGTTTAGGTACTAAACGCATTAAGTAAGTTTTTAACGATTTGTATTAAAATAAAACAAAAACTAAATGTTAGTTATGGTTTAAAAAAATAAAACCTTAGATAATAAAATGGACCAAAGCTGATAGTTTATATACTAAATCCGTAGTTTACCCTTCTATGTTATATTCTATGATTAAAAATCGAAAAAGAAAAAGAAAAAAAAGATCACTGCTTTAGTCCTCCGCTTTATATGATCTTCCAATGTGGAGGACGAATAGCAGTACCCGAAACATTAAAATTAAGCAAGGGACTGTGGTGGTGAGGCGGTGGCGCTCTAGCTGTTCTTCCGTGTGCTGGCGGAGCCGGTGGTAGTGGTTTCATGGAGGAAATCAAGCAACACGGTGTTCTTGCATTTGGGGCATTTAGGGTCCTCCTCCGAAAGAATAATGTACATAAGACACCTAGGACACCCCACCAGAACCATGGAAGTAGTCGTCTCGCCACTGTTAGTGTTGATGTCCATCTCCGACGATACGCACGAGCTCGGAGGAGATGTCGGTGACACCGTCGCTGCTCGGCTCGGCGATTCCACTCTTGGTGGTGATAGGTTCAGCTTCAAATCAGGCTTGGCACCGTTTCTCCGACTCATCTTTGTATTGTTCACGTACACAAATTAGATACCTTCAAGTTCAAAGAAGGGGAGGTGGTGATGGGTTTGAAGAAGAAAGAGATAAATATATATAGGAGAGAGGAGTGTTTCTTAACTCTTTTTTAGAATAAAGTACGCATTTAGCACCTAAACTATTAATTTTAGTCTGTTTTAGTATTTAAATCTTTTAATTTTTCAAAACACACCTAACGTTTTTTCATTTTAGTACCCATCGTTAAAACCCTTAACTCGTTTAAAACCTAAACTATCAATTTTTGTCCGTTTTAGTACCTAAACTTTTGATCTTTTCAAAATTTAAAGTTAAATTTTGAACAAGGGTACTAAAATGAAACAAAAACTAAAGCTTTTAATGACGGAGTACTAAAATGAAATAAAAACTAAATATTATGTATGATTTTAAAAAAAAAAATTAAAAGTTTAAATACTAAAACGGGCCAAAGATGATAGCTTAGATACTAAACGTGTCATTTACCCTTAATTAAATTACCTCTAGGAGTGGTGAAGATGTGTAGGCTAGGAAGAATTAATTAACTTGAAGAATTGGTAGAAGTAGCATTAAAATAGTGTTGCAATCTACCAAAGTTTTGCACACATTTAACAATTCGGTAATATTAGTAAAGTATCGTTGCATTGGAATATAATATGAATTTCTTTAAAAATAATAACATTTTTTTTTATCATTGATGTCATTTAACGGGTATAAGAGTTTGAAAAATTAAAGAGATTATAATCTATTGAGTAGCCTCAGTGATTGGAGGAAGAATTATTCTCTCAGGAGGTATCAAATTTGAGCAATTATATCTGTAGAGTGTATGTGCGTTGTCAATTGTTAAAAAATTATGAACAAATATTACTTTGAAATCACTCAGACTATTATAAAAATAAAGAAATTAAAATAGGTATAATTTTATTAACTATGATATAATATTTTAGGTCACGGTGTTTATTAATGAAACCAATTTATTTAACTAAAGCTTACTCAATTGATACACTTTGTTTTAAATGGCAAGTCATTAAAAAGAGTGCGTTTTGAAGGGAAGAAACCAGCAAAGACTCCAAATTATTAAAACAAAAGATACCTAAGAATTTAATATCAAACAACCAAAATTTTAAATACACCCAAGTTAAATGTTTCAACAAATTTCATATAATTAATGGCAACTCCACCAAATTTTGTTCATGGTAAATACCAGATAATTTTAGAATAAACACAAAAATAACCAACTAACATGATAAGCTGTGTCATATTTATGTTTAAAAATTTATTGTCCAACTAAATGAAATCAATTTCAGTATCCATGTGCCATTATTAATCAACTAAATGTAATTATAGAAGCACGGTGAATTATCATGTCAGGACGTAAACTGCCACATCAACACCGTAACGGTCAATGATAGAAAACTTTGATCAAAGGCTTTTATTGAGTTTGTTTTATAAGTTGAAAGACCACATCAAGAGAAAAAAAAATACGAGGACAACATTAATTTTTTTTATAAAAAAAGCACAAGACTTTTGATGAATTTTACCTATTAACTAAAATAGAGTTTGACTTTGTTGGCTGATAAAACTATACCTGTTTATAGTTTTTTTTAACATTAATACTGATTCTATTTATAGTTTTATTTGTATGCTCTTCCTTGCTAATAAATTCCATTAAGGCTACTCACCAACTCTCCTTTAGAGCTCTACTGTTTTTGTGTTTGGAATTAATTATGGGGTTATGTGAACAAAAATAAATGTTAGCTTTTAACATTTAAATTTCCAACTCAAAGTTTAAATTCCTTAAAACATTTGGAATTAATAAATGGGATGTAAAACAAAATAGCATAAAGCAACAGCATTTATAATATTTTCTAGAGTAGAAAATAAAAATAATGGCGTCAATGTCAAGTTATTAATATAAAGACTAACCATATTGAAGGCACGGTTAGCGGTGGCTGTTGACGAATTTATAACATTTATTTTAGAAATAGTTTGATAAATTGAAAGAATAAATGTTAAAAATTTGAAGTATTTAATTTATAAAAAATAGTTTCTTCTATCTTTATTTCTTGTTTTGAGTATTTAATTTATGTTTCTATCATTTAAGAATCACATATAGAAATTTGTAAAAATCCATATAAGTGAACCCGAACCGTATTCTCTGAATGCTTCAGATGTATCATAGTGTGTACTGGGATCTCATGTGAGTCGTTGTTGCCGTAATTCATGCATTTAATGTAAGAGGTAATAATTCCTCTAAAATTTTAGAAACTCAAAATTATGAATTTGCGACTCATAGATTGTAATCTACAAATGCTCCAGATGTTTCGTTGATTCTCCTTTCAGTTTGAGTCTATCTTAAATAATTTATTTATGTATTTTGGTTTTCAAATAAAGAGTTTCGATTTTACAAAATGTTATTTTTCTTATCCTGTAAAATTGTTTTAAAATGATGATTAAACTGTTTTAAAAAATGGTTAGTCACTTTGTTGATTTTGTATGGCACTCAAAACCTCTGAATTTGAGTCGGGTCAGATTAGGATGTTATGCAACACCTTAATCTAATCCGATCCGAAAATCACTAGATCATGATGTCACACGGGAGTAGCAAAGTGGTAACCCAAAAATTTTCTTTTAAAAATGACTGCAAACTATAAAAAGCGAAATCCATCCATAATAATAAATTAAAAACATAAATAAACTAGGTTTACAAGTATGGGGGAGCTCCCAAAATATTCAAAATAATACATCGTCGACTGAATACATAAGGGTCTATAAATAGTACATGCCCTCTAAGAAAGACTCAGACGTTCTCTGAATGCCTCGGCTAATATGAACATGATGCACTGGAATATCTGCTGACAATAACTTCCCACGAATGGTCCCCTAATAACCTGCGCACGGAAATACATTTCGAACGCTGATCTTACGAGCTCAGTGCCACACCAATAATTGTACTATACTACATGCATTCACTAAATGAGCTGGCTAGCGACACAAGTATAAATACATGTAAAACACTGATATGTACATACATCATGGTGCAACTGAGGGTTCTGTATCTCAGAGCTCACACACCCCTTTAACCTTTCTGAGATACCCTCAGTATCTGGGGTGAGATCCGGAGCTACATCGTACACCTGACCAACTTACTCCATTGAGTCTTGAGTCATTTGTGCCCATTCAGCTACTGAAGTGCCTTGGCACTGACTGAGATATCCAACTGACTGTCGTGTTTCGCTAGAGAGACTCAGGTGTCCTGGCTGTTTAAAGTCCTAAACAAAGGTTAGTTTTATGTATTCCTAGCTGTCACTGTTTATAACTGTTTTGAGTTTTATTATTGTTCTTTGTAGTTTTATTTGCTGTTATTCTAATGTTATTGGACTCCTCAAGTCTAACCCCTTAATTATTAGATTATTCATCCAATTGTCCGTTGGTATCGATACTAAATACTAGCTCTTTGTATCGATACTAGCCCTTAAGTATCGATACCTACCTCTTGGTATCGATACTGACTGACTAAGCTACGCTGATAAAGGAGGAATAATATCGGTACTCCTAGATGAGTATCGATACTTTAATGTTGGGATACTGGTCTGAGTATCAATACCAAAATTTGGTTCGATGTTTTAAAAAATATCTCAGTATCGATACCCCTACTGAGGGTATCCGTACTGATATCGATACTCCCATGAGTATCGGTACCAAAATTGCATACTGAAATTTGCTAAGTGAACTCGGTATCGATACCACTCTGCGAGTATCGATATTGTATCTACATTATCGATACCCATTGAAGGAGTATCGATTCTTCTTGTAACACTTAAAACCCATATAACTATACCTATACAGATTATAGATGTCACCTGAATTTCTTAAAATATTTTCCAATTTAAAACTGATTTAAAATTTATTTTCTTAAAAAGATTACTGATAATATAAAAATATCATATCACATCAAACTATCACATACTATTTAAAACATTTATTAGTATGTATTTGTGCTATCCATACTGAAAATAGAGTAAACCATTTTAGTTTAGTTATTACAAACCAGTTCCAAAATATTTCAACAGAGAAACTATGACATTTATAGTACATGCCACTAACTAAGTCAAAATCACATCATAAGATGTCTTACTGATATAGAAATATACTCCTCGATGCTTGATGTCGCTCCAAACTCTTTATTCTACTACTGGCTTTTTACATACGCATGAAAATCATCACGCTAAGTATATACTTAGTGAGGCAATTTAAAACAATAAACAGTTCAATACAAATCATGCATGAAATTTAATATCATTTTCAAATGCCAAAATCAAAACAACATAATATAATAAAATCATTTTTATCAACAACTATCGCCCACAATTCTCAATCCATGAGGAACCCAATATAGGAGTCAAATATTGCATAAAAGTGCTGAGGTCGAGCATTGCTCACCTAATAATGCACCGTAGTGCTGAGGTTGGGTGTTACCCACCTGACTTGTACTATGTATCTTATTTGATACTATAATACTACTTAATTCTGCAGCTGCTAGACTCTATGACATGCCATTAATACCACTGAACCTCAATAACATACTTGGGCATATAGTCATGAATTAAATCATCCGTGGAAACATATAACCATGTAATAAACATTAGGGCAGTTCATACCCAAATTAACATCCACGTTAAAATCTCATGCTGATAAAACAAGGTCGACTTGTCGCAAGTCTTCCTGATGATGTATAAAACATCTATGTACCATGTCATGCATGTATTGCACTCACCTCTACACTTTATAAATCCAAAATATTTGCCTCACTACGGTCCACAATAACTCTTTTATACTTGATTTGCTTCAATCACAATTCAATCACGATTTGTACGAAATCAAAATTTCATAACAATACTTATGTTATTATTGTACTAACATAACACATCCCCAAAACAAAATCCATAATATACTTGAAACTCATTTTCTACCAAAATACTTAACACTTAAT